GAGGGAGAAGAGGGAGAAGAGGGAGAAGAGGGCAAGGTTAAACGAGGCCAGAGCCAATCAGATTGTGCTTAGTCGTCTTTCTCTCCAGCCTCGCTGGTTTGCCCGGCAGGAGGCTGGGGATGGCTGCCGCGAAGATGTTGAGAGGTAGTGCATGTCCACCGTCCTGCCTATGGGACAGACGAGGAGTCGCGGCGACCAACAAAAAGGTATGAAATGAAGACAGTGCCGTGACAGTCTTCTTCTCATTTTCCTTATCGTTCACCCTCGCTTCTGGTGTCTGTAGACTTTAATTCGTCATTTGCACTCATTCTCTCCTTTCTATGCTGAAGCCGTGCAAATGCTGATTCTTGCTGACTCCATCTCTCTTTCTATCTCTCTCTCTCTCTCTTACGGGCTATCTCGTGGATAGAGCAAACTCAACGGCCAACCGCCCAGGCGACAGTCTTCCAACGGACGGTTTAGGGGTCGGCATCTCACCCCATTTGGGGCAGACATGAAGAGGGCGAAAATGAGCCCACAACTTGACTGTTGAGTGGAGGCCCACTCCAGTGTGGAGGTGTTGACATGACGATACTGTACACACCCACACCCACACTGACACACACGGACACAATCGACAGTCGGGTCTCTCCAAATGGGCAAATAGCGCCCTATCATCTTCGATTTGGCCTATCACGTTACAGGTTTAATCGACATTTCGTGCCCCAGTCAAGCGAGCGCGATCATCGAGACATGTTTGCGTCATTTGACTGCTTCCCTGCGCTTCGCGTGCCCTCGAGACCCCGCCAATTCACACACTCATCCACATACACAAACACACACAACAGTCGACACACGCACATAGAGGTGTAGAGAGGCGGGCGCGGAGGCCGGAGGGTACATGGTCTCGGATACGAAGGGCCAGGCATGCGAATTGCTGATTCTCCCGCCCAGCCAGAGATTGCACCACCCGTGGCCCCAGTGTCATCGCCACCAGAGCAACCGACACCGACACCGACACCGACATCGACATCGACACCGACACCGACACCGACATCGACACCGAGACCAACGACGTCCCGATGCCCACCAGGTCGGACTGGCCGAACTGACTGGCCAGCAGTCCTATCGGGATCGGTGCGATATCGGCCGATTGAGCCGCATGTACATGCCCCGACAGCCTCATCTCATTTGTTAACTCGTCGCTCGGCCACTCGGAGTCTACCCTCAGTCGACCGGACTGCCGCCTGACACTGCCTCGCCTCAGCTCGAATCCCACCCAGCAGATGTCCCTCTTCAACGCGCCCGCTTTCTCCACGGCCGCTCTGCTCTCCGGCCCTTTGGCCGGCTGCTATTCGCCCCAGCCGCATCCTCATCCGCATCCGCATCAGCCGCCGGCGGCTTGCGTGCCGGGTTCGAGTCCGGCCTTGACGTCTCCTTCGTCGCCGGCGGCAGCGGCT